TTTTCACTTAAAATAATGAATTCAACGAGTTGATAAACTCATACCAGGTGTTTTCAAAAAGTGGCTCAACCCTATAACTTTTTTGTTACTATGAATAAACAAATCAAATTCGGTGTGTGAGTATAGTTCATGAATATAAATTATTTGACATGTTCAATTGTTTTCTGTCACTTCCGATTTGATCAGAAATGACCCATATTTTCTTATTTTAAATGGAACACCTGGTATAATTTTACTCATTTCGATAGAGAATAACTTTGTGTGTACAATGTTAAATTTTCGATTATGTGGTATCAACGTGATTGTTACAAAATACCCTTTTCAGATATGATGATGAGCCACCCTTTTTATATTTGAAAAAATTGAGTTAATATCATAATAACGATATGGCGAATTTTGAATGAATCTGTAAAACAAATTAAAAGTAAAACTTCATCGAAATCATTTTTTCTAGGCAACATGATTCAAAATCAACGATTTTAACTTATATTCATGGTACTTTAGATTGCAAATTGGAAAATGAAAGTTTCAGGATGATGTCAAAAAGTGGCATAAGGAGTTTCATTGTACTCACAATGTTATTCTCTATCGACATAAGTAAAAATATATCGGAAGTCCCAATTAAAGTAGGAAAATATGGGTTATTTATGGTCAAACCTGTTTATCTGTATAAACAGAAGATGTATAGGGGTGAGCCACTTCTGAGAAGCACCCGGTATAGGTGAAGAACACAGTGATGAAATTCGAAATATTTGTCTTTTCCCGAATTTTGTATCAATTCACGAAATCATACTCGAAATAAGATTCGAAACAAAAATTGCTTTCCATATTTTCAAAGTCGGTAGTCCACTCATTGGATGTGAGTTACGGATGTAAATCTACCATTTTAATGTTCAGTTTTCAGTAGTGAATACCATGTTCTATCTATATCAACTGAACATGAAGCAATGCTATTGTCTCCGTTCAGAAGAATGCAAGCGGATTCCTTGATTTGTCCCTTTCCTATGATTTTTATATTATTCCACTCTGCCATATTATGTTGTCCATTTAGTAAGGATTTGTTCAGTCAGCTTTGATTTATCGATATGTATTTTCTTGATATTGTACTCGTATTCTTTCGTCCTTACTGAGAGAGATATTTTCGTTTCACCTGTATAATACTTTTCACAAACACAAGGTATACTAAAAATACAATTTTTTGATGATTGTTCTTCATTTTTCGGCTTTGTTTGAGTTAGAATGGATCTTATTGTATTTTCAGTTTTGAATACCGTTTTCACTCGAAACTATCTGATTTGTCCTACTACACATAAACTGGTCAACATTGATAACGTAGTGCTCCAAATTTGCATTTCGATTGAAAATGCGTACTTTCATTATATGACCTTCGATCCAAGGAATTACAAAACCATTTCGAGGTCAGACACCAGACATCATCATGACGAAGTAACACTCCATTATTCCACTAGTAACACAGAGAAAATTATGTTTCATCTACTGGAGACTACGTTATACTCCATTCCATCATTCAGTATTTCTGGTATCACTTTGTATAGACTTTTACAGAATTTTCTGTGTTCGAACACGATCACATATCCGACGACTATACATACAACGTTGATTCTTCGGAGAAGAATTCCAACTTTCAATTTCATTCAATTGATCGTCGAAAAAATGCATCATTCTGAATGAATATTCATAACACGATTATCAAACCTCTGAATTTGAAAATTCCGAAAATGTTTCGAGAGAAAGCATTAATCAAGAGGATACAGGTGAGAAGAAAAATAAAAAAAATTATCTGTTCAAACGGTAAGGTGACGACCACGATGCAATTTTACACCTATTCAATTATCACCCTGTAGCAAAGTTATCTGAAATTACAGAAGTTTCATATTGCCACTACAAGTCAAGAGATTAGGCTAATCATCGGTGAAAACCGATTTCAAATTGGTGAGGTAATTCGTGAGTTATTCTACTTTGAATTCAGGCTATATTTTGGAGCACGACGTTGACCAGTTTATATTGGGATAATACTCATATTTTTATTTTATAGAAACGAGGAGGAAAAATCCCAAATAATCAAGTCAAATGAATAATAAAGAAGTTTTCCCAGATAGTTTTGTAAACAAACCAAGGTAGGTATACTGTTATTATTATGAGTTCTCTAGAACTGAAGGGTTTCATGAAAAAGTAGTATAAGTATAAGTATTAGCAAATAGTTATTCATACACCAAGGTGTATATTTTTTTTTACCTCCAGCAATATATTTGATTTAATAATTATAGTTCTGAGAACTGTGAACCTATGACACTTTGGAAGCACTTCTTTTCAATTCTAATTGAAATCTAGTCACAATGACAGCATATATCACAAGTCGCTACTGATAAATACCTGATGCCATTTCTGTGAATATCGCATCAGAACATTGAATTTGGGTTGGCTATGTCTTTATATACTAGTGGTTCATAAAATGACGAAAACTACCTTGGTTGTAAAAATACACTTTACGCCTTCAAAATGAGTAAATAATGGTAGGTTCTATAACTAGTGGTGAAAAAAAATTAAACGTCTGCTGATATTTTTATGTTCGTCGAAATGTAGCAACTCATTTTTATTTTGAGTAGGTAATTCCACATTTACTCATTTAATCACGTTCACAGATGCAATAACTCCAATTCAACCTGAATTGAGCCATCCTGGTTTTAATTTTTTCATTCATTTGTTTGATCATAAGTATCGGTGGTCTTTCATCGAGAGTCACGTGTGAAAATATTAGTGAAAAATTATCTTTATCTGATTCATCAAACACCAGGAAGAGCATGTGCCTGAAGGAATTTGCTAGTACAGTAACCGACAAAAGTGGATGTTAGCTTCAGAGAGTTTTTCTAGATTCAAATAATTCATTGCACGGTTCAATCAGTTCATCAATGAACATCAATATCGAATGAACTTGTTTTCACAACATATTGCATAACTTGGATATCTGGGTGAAGTGTGAGGTTTGATTCATTAGCTGGTTCTCAATCTATTCAATCATCTGCTATTCGTTATACAGAGTGTTTCCGAAATAGAGCAGTAAATCAAGTGAGAATAATAGTATATTATGTTCGAAGTGTTAAATAAACGAGTGTCTCGAAGAGTTTATAAACGCGTTGAATACTATACTTTTTGTACGAACTCATAATTCCACTCTTCGAAAAGAGCTCATAATTTCGAAAACTAGATTATTACCTACCTGCTAACCTACAAAATAATTCGAAGGGAATGGGAATTGAGAACATAACATATAATACTATGCAACTGCATACAACCAACGAAATACGTAGAACAGATACATTATTGAAATGGCTTGTTTACTGACTTGTGTGAATATGATTTCATCTGACGTAGTGATGAAGAATTCTGATACAAAGAGAAATTGTTTCAATAATTCTGATTGCAACAAAATTCGAAGATGACAGTTGACAGTTCCTAAAATCAACAGACCGGACAGGACTCGAACGACTGAAGATGTGTTTGAAAAACTCTGTTGCCATGGTGATGTGTTTGAGAAATTGTGCGTGTGTAACGTGTTAGGTTTTTTGAATAAATCACAGATCGTCAATCCGTGATTAATCGATCGGATATTGAATTAAAATTTTGTCTGAAATTTTTGTAGATTAACGATTAGGAATTAACGGCCAAATCCAAGCGTTTGTTTTTGGTAATGTTAGAAGCATCGAAAGAATCATTGATTTGCAATGTTTTAGACGTCCAATAAATGAGCTGAAAGATGTAATATGGTATATACAGTGTGACCCACTTCTAATGGAACCACCCCTGTATCTTACGTAATCGTTGGGTAAGGATCCTGAAATTTGCTGAAGCGAGAGATATACCAAAAATGCACTTTATGACCAAGTGGGGTCATCTTCAGTGATATACACTGCTCGCCAACAGCCATGAAACTACCCCAATTTCCGGAAAATGATATTAGGAGTCGAAATAGGTCGAAAATCACTTCAGATTTGGAATCAGGACGCCCAATTTACTAACTATTAAAATTTTTCCTGGAAAATTTTCAGTTCGAAAAAATGAAATTTTGTCGCATTTTTTATGGAAGCACCCCGGTATCTCACGTAATTGACTTTATCTTTAGACTCGGGGGTGCTTCCATAAAAAATGCGACAAAATTGGGCGTCCTGATTCCAAATCTGATGTGATTTTCGACCTATTTTGACTCCTAATATCATTTTCTGGAAATTGGGGTAGTTTCATGGCTGTTGGCGAGCAGTGTATATCACTGAAGATGACCTCACTTGGTCATAGAGTGCATTTATGGTATATCTCTCGCTCCAGCAAATTTCAGGATCCTTACCCAACGATTACGTAAGATACAGGGGTGGTTCCATTAGAAGTGGTTCACACTGTATATATATATATATGTATATTTCTCGAGACCACCTCAGGAATATTATTTCTTCTTGCAATTTTTTAGGGATATTTGAATGTCTCATACAACACCACATCTTATATTTATCGCTTCAATTTTGGAAACACCTAGTAAATTACAATCATGTTCCAGCAGTTTCAGATGGCCCATTCCTTATAGAATCGATTCGAAAAACCGACACTTTTTCTGATTTTGATTTATTTGAAAATTTTAAAGGCATTGGTTTCGTGCTCTCATTACGGAGCCCCCTATATCTACATCCTAAGCGAGGATTTCTGTATTTTCCATTCATTTTGGAATTTTGGGATTTTGGGGGTATCAGCGTATCTGTAACTGAGTTTGAAGTAGATACCTGAAGTTCCTGAAGCGGCTTTCATGTCTTCCTTCTCATATTTATCAATACACACATACATATTCTAAACGGTCCACTTCTATTCAGTCTCCTAGATTTGTCCCCCCAAATACATTCAACCAATGACGTTTCGTTTCCATCTTCATGAATCGAATTGGAAATATTGTAATAACCTCTCCAATTTATAACCATATAATCTGGAAGAAGACTTACCATTCATATCTGGCGGTGGCTTGTTGTTAACCACATGTTGATCATTCAAATCCTTCCAAGGACTCATGACCTCCCTTGTACTGAGACCTGAATAGCAAAGAGAATGATTGCATGAATAGGTTGGCATGCCAAGAATTTGGGGAAAATTCAATTTTGGTATAAGCTGCGCAAGTTTAGACAAAAATGAACTAACTTTGAGTTTTGCACAGTAGATTTCCACACATGTCATGCTCCAATAGTTCGAACAAAATATGATAGAAGTGAAGAATCTCCTGGAATTGTTGACATAATTTGGAAAGGAATGATTTTCATCTCGATTGTTCATAAACATCATTCAACAACTGATGGAGATATTGTTGTCGCTTATATAATATTAGGTTTGCTGGTTTGAATGGACCATACAGTCTGGAACGATGAGAGAACTGAGAAGTAATGATGTACGAGTCACGAGTACGAAGTCAAAAGTCAGAGTAGGAGAAATATCTGAGCGAATAATTTGAGTAACCTGAGTAGTCTGAAGAATATGATTTCAAATATACCCTATAGTGAATTTCCAAGCATCTTCTAGCTGGAAATTGTCAGTAGGTATATGATGATGATTTCAATTCGCCTTGAACTTTGTAACACGACCAAGAAACACAGAATACCAAAATTCAGAACCCTATAGTTCGACTCACTATCCCTGGACCAACTATATCCACAGAACATTAAGCTTACATCTGCTGTGCATTGGAGCATCATTGATGAATCACAGCATCTAAAAAAGGCGGTAAAAAAAGTCGCTTGAATTTGAAATTGTGTAGAATGGCAGACGAACCTATTATTTTCGAGCATGATTCAATAGCTATTATTTACCTGTTCAATCAATGCTCTCATCCACCTGTTGAAAGCTGTTGGTGTTTTGTGCCCAGGGTCCAAGTTCAAGATGAATTAAAATCATCACTATATAATGGTCAAGTAGCTGTCAAACGACTGTGAACAGCTCCAAATCAGTTCTAAAATTCTGGGATAATTCGATGAAATACAGTCACCCTCGTCAGTGTTCTGGAGACGAAAGAAATGCGACCAAACTCGCTATAGAAAAGGAGCTCAAACATCCTTTAGAACCTTTCTATGGGATTGAGAGCAGTAGTAACAGGAAAGAAGAAGTTACACAGAGATCCGATATCTTGCGAAATTCTCAAGATCTCAGACAAGTCAAGACAGTACTGTGAGGCTATACAACCACGAGAGATCAAACGTCGTATTTAACAGCCTGAGCAAGAAAAACAGTACTGGAAGGCTATACAGCCACGAGAGATCAAACGTCGTATTTAACAGCCTGAGCAAGAAAAACAGTACTGGAAGGCTATACAGCCACGAGAGATCAAACGTCGTATTTAACAGCCTAAGCAAGAAAAACAGTACTGGGAGGCTATACACCAGCCACGAGATATCAAACGTCGTATTTAACAGCCTGAGCAAGGATTAACTTCGTATACTAACTTTCATAGGAAAAATATGAATACAGGATCTTTGAACAAGAAGAGAAAACCTCTACAGACAAAATTACGGAACTTACCCTACTCAATCCAAGGGTACCAACCTAGAAGCGCACATAATAAAGAAGGACCTATAGGTCCACCTCATATCATAAAATTCCTGAGGGTGATAGAACTAGAATAACAATAATCATAGCCGCACGTAGAACAAAAGAAGGAACTCATACATACATAAATAGTCTTTTGAGTTTGGACAGATTGAGAAATTTAATAGTGTCAAGAGTCTTCAAACTACGATGCCAGAGTAATGCGATGAAACAGAACTAGTTGAATAAAGATGATGCAGGGTTGGACCAGATTGAGAAGCTTGAGTATTTTGTCGTGGAGATGAGAGAGACTATACTAGAGATTGGTTCGAGATATCTGATGATTTCCAAGAGGCTGACATGTATTCTATGAATAGTCTGAGCAGTGTGGAGATCTTCTGAGGAGACTCAATTTCGTTTTATTCTCATGATTCCAGTTCATGGCAAATTTTTCTATCTCCACTGGATTATGGTTGTCGTACAGCAAAAGCGTCACCTAGTGACGTCACTGACGACGGTTCCACGTGCGTTTAAAACCGATTGGACCGCCAGGCCAGGCGTTTTCCAGCGTTGAGGTAGACGAAGCGGGGTTGGGAGGGGGTTCGTGGGTGGGGTGGAATGGGGTGAGTGGGGGATAGGCAAGTGCCAATAGTTTTAACCGCACGTGAACCGTCTCGTGTACAGGGCCGGCTATGGGCACTCGCCTTGGACACCACTGAAAAAAGGATTCCAAAGTTTTCTAAATTACGGAAACGCATGCAATGTTGAACACTGTGAATGATTATAGCTGGATTTGATATCGCACGAAATCAATTTGAATTAACGCTTATCTACAATATACAATATTAGTAGGTAATCTGTGTTTGGCTAATTGTTATACCACTTTTGCATCTCAAATTTCAAGACAAAAAATCAGCAGGAGTGTTTTCTCTGCTTATGATTTTTTTATCTGGTAGCCCAAACTTATTTGTTTGAAAGGAACATTTTATTTTATCTACTTCAGTCGTTTTTTTTTTCTTCTTCCTGCCGGTGAAATTGAAATCGAAAGCAGCACAAGAGCGTCAAACCACTTTCAATCATTATAACATTATTTTTTTGTAAAGTGTTCGGAAATATTTGGATTCTCATTTCCAAGTTATCACTAGACATTCAAATTTCGAAATCAACCCAAATTCAGTAGGTTTTTCATTCTATTAAAACTTTTTATTTAAACGATGATGAATTAAATGAGTGGTACTTATTTGAGTTAGTATGTTAGCATTTGATATTTGATTTCTATCTAATTCCCACACCGCATTCATTTGAATTCGAATGAAATAAATTATTTCAGAAATCAATTGCATTGCTCCATTCCAATCATTTGAAAATTCGATTTGTTATACGACTTCAGATTGAAATTGATAATACATTCAAAATATTAGTGTATGCCACGGTGTCTTGAACTAGTTCTTCACAAATTGCTTCATTTTCATGGTATTCAATGTGAAAATTCAGTTAATCCAATTGAAAGTGCATGAATAAATTTTCACAAATTCTCCTAGACCGGCCCTGCGCTGTTTATCACAGTTTCCAGAAACCCGAGCATCCAGTGGCAAAAGAAAACCTCCATCAATACTGTTAATTAATTATTGGAAGTGGCTGTTCCCGATTTCAAGTGTTCAAGTTCTAATTTTGGGGTGATTGGACAGGCAGGATTGGGATATATACGTACCTAAACGCTGGAATACAGGCCGTGTGCTCAGTCCTCTTGTCATCACATGCATATTCTGGTTATTTAAAGTAATGCTCACGTGAATCGTACGACTATGATTGAAAATTTCTCATTCACAAGCATTTCAAAATTTAAGTATTAATATATTTATGATGTTGAATTCAACAGAAAAATCATAATGATCTAAATCAATTACATTCGATTCATGATAGTAAGCAAGCAAACAGGAACGTCTCAGCAGCGTGGATTCTTCTCTTTCTTGAGCTGAAGAGTTTTTCATCGAAGCGTCTTCTTTCTCATTATTAACCTTGGATACTGAGTAAAACAAGTTTATCAGATGTGGTACCCATCTCAATTTCAAGATTCATCATGTTGATCAAGAAAATTCAAATGTACAGAGCGCCAGTAGCAGCAGAGGAAAACATGACTATATTGAATTGAACATGATGGTAGGTAACGAGAGAAATTCCTGGCAAGTACCACGCAGAAAATTGAATAACTTATGTAATCTTTGCAACGATTCTTATAAACAGATACGTTCTGAGTGCCGTCAATGCCATATTCTGCTTGAATTTTATTTTTTTTATGTTCTGGTTCCCACGAAAAGGGATATCCTGTAATGTTCAGAGAACATCGTGAGAACCAAGGGAAATAAGGTAGGAATTGGCATTCTTCTTAAATTTCTGGAGTTTATATGCCTCGTGGAACACCTCCCTTGGCAATGTGTTCCAGAGCCTCGCTGTTCGTTGGATGAACGAGTCTTTGGAAGGAGATGTTCTGCAGGTCTCCAAAGTGACCACGAAGGGGTGCGAAGCCTCAACTCGACGGGTTAAACTCGCGGGGACTGCCAAGGGAGGAACAATTGTTGATATTTCAGAAGAGCATCGTCCATGAAAATATCTAACAAATAGAGCCAGATCGCCAACTTTTTTGCGGTGTTCCAGAGAAGTGAGTGGGTTTGTGAGCGAGGCATCACCCACGAGACGAATTGCCCTATTTTTGGACAGAATCCAACAGTTTCATGGTATGTTTGGGTGCTGCACTCCAAATATGGAATCAGTATTCCAGGACAGGTCGTATCTATGCCTTATAGATCAAAGCAGTTGACTGGAAGTGAAATAGCTCCTGGCCCGAAACAGAAAACCAAGTTTTTGGGATGCACTTTTAGCAATTGATATCACGTGATTTTCTTAAGAAAGGTAATTGCTGATAGTAATCCCAAGCATCGAAATGGATGTCTTCAAAGGTATGGTTACTCCTGACAAGCTTATGTTGGGCACACTGAGATCGGTTTTTCTAGAGAAAAGTCATGCTTGTGTTTTGTTTGCATTGAAATCTGCCAAGTTATTGGATCCCCCTCGAGAATTGTTGCCGCGTCCATATTTATGTTGTCAACATTTCTCCCTCGTTCGTTTCTGATTTGCCTGGCTGGAATTGGAGCCCTGGAAGAGAAGGTAGTATGGAGGATACTATCATCCGCGAAGCTGTGTACTGGACATGAAGTTGCTTCCAACAAATCGTTGATATGGAGTAGAAATAGTGTTGGTGCTAGAATTGATCCTTGCGGGACACCAGCATTTATGATAAGAGAGTCAGATGAAACTCCTTGAAGCCAGGGACCACTTCACCACCATCAGTCATCAATTAATAGGATATTGACCCTCATCAGCGCAGGAGCAGTCACCGCACAGCGTTTCAGTTACATCTGTCAAAACGGAAAATGAATAGGAATCTAGGTACCTTTGAAATATATCTTCCATCCCTTTCTTGATATCAATTCGCCAAAGGCTGACACATCTACGCTGATAAAAGCTGGATTGTGTCAGGATCCGCCTCAGACGGCTGTCTATTGGATGCCCTGAAGTGATTATGACAGAAGCCCGTCTGAAGGTGTTTAGGCGATGCCTAGTCTCAATTCAAGTCCAATCCGGCATTCACGAAAAAAAAGTAATAGTTCATACGAATCGCTTCAAAGATTTTGGGAATTATAATTCAGAGACATTAGCCAGTGAGTCCATAGCAGTTCATCTCTATTTATCGAAATGTTTGTCTAAATTACTGAGTTTTTCATTCATTGTGACAAAAGTCATCTCACTACGACACTTTGGCTTCTTTGTTGAGTAAAAAATAAAATAGTGATGATGATAATACGATTATCATTGATGATGACAGTCCAAACAATCCTAAGTGAGGAAAGTAGGTAAGTGATATTGTGAAAATAGGGACAGTATTCCTCGTCATCAAGAAACAAACTGGTATGAAATCCGATACAAATGATTGAAAACACGCGACACTTCATACCTTGGTTCTGTGGCATCATGAGGGGCTGCATACCCATGCCCTGGTGCACTACGTATTGCCGCTGTACGAGCTGCAATTGCTGGATCAGCTGTTGCTGCTGCAGCGCTAATTGCTGAAGAGACCCGGAAGCCTTCTTCTTGTCGCTACTTTGTAAGATATGTGTCTGTTGGATGAGATTCAGTTGGAGTTGTTCTTGGAGCTGCTGGATCGTCTGTTCGATCTGCTTCTTGCCTAATTCTGCTAGTTGGTGTTGCTGAAATTCGAGGAGACGGTTTTTATTATCAGAAAGCGACTGGATCATCGTAGATCAGTACGACGCCTCTGAACTGCCATTCTAATAAACACTTCTTTTCACGAATATTGGCCTAATTCACAGTTGCAACTATAAATTAGCACTAATTTACAGTTGCAACTGTGGCAACTGTAAATTAGCCGTCTATTTTACAGTTGCAATTCAAAATTAGGCAGAGAAACCTTGTATTCAATACACCTCCCAATTTACAACTGTAGATTAAGAGATATTTAAAGCCCTTTTCTCTGCCTAATTGACAGTTGCAACTGTAAATTAGGCAAATATTCGCAAAAAAATAGTTTTTCTAGGATGGCAGTTCAGACGCGTCGTAAAACAGGAAGATTCATTTGAAAAATCATCACATTTCAAAGGCCTCTGTGGAACAGCTTCCAAATCGTTGATTCAAGAGGATGTTTCAGACATTATTCAACTCGGCATAAATAGCTTATGACAAACCATAGAACAACCTTTATGACATAATGATAATAGACCTATGACAACATAATTGTCAGGAATTCACTACTAATGTATATAAACTAATTAATTTTGTGGGGTGACATAACGAAAAGAAGAATATGAATTTGAAGATGAACGTGGCGGTACTGCAAAGTTTCGTAGTACGTATACGAGCAATAATCGTTGTAAGAAATGTGATATGTCGTTTTTGTTGGTGATGGATTTTTGGCTGTTGTATGATTAGTTTTCGTTGTCCTAGTTATTTATTCATTAATCTGAATTAGACTCTTGTGTGAATGAATATTGTTCGGCATTGTCTAATCTGTTAAAATATAGAAAATATCAAATGACCTCACTAAGACGTTAAAAAATATCGTATTCTTATGTAACAACACGTGAGAATGAATTTATCAATACACATACACACATTATTTGACAAAATCCCGATTCTTTGGGCATATAAAATATATCTATAAAGGATATTCATTCTCTAGCGATGATTTCACAGATAATTCAATTGTTTCGCTTTTAGGATTGTTGGCGTATACTTCCTAATGATTTATGAATTAATCGCGTCGTCTATATCTATTGATATTAAGTCTGAGCCCTGAGGGTTCTCTCACCTGATGTTGCTGCTGTTGCAATATCGAATGCTGCTTCATCAACGTCTGTAGCTGCGTAGGGCTCAACACGTGTTGCTGTAAAAGTTGCTGCATATGATGGAGATTCGATGTCGGCGTTGACATCATCTGAGCACCCGTATTTTGGGACTGATTGTAAGGATAGTCATTTGTTAACTTTGTTGTGTCATTCTGTAAGGAAACGAAATATCAATGAACCAGATTCTTGGGGCCAATACACCAGCAAGAAATTGATCAATGGTGTTTGACATTTCTAACAAATGTGGAATTTCCTCTTATGATAATATTTCGAAAAACTTACTTGGGGAATTGGTGGTATGGTAGCACTGAGATTTTTCTGCGGGTCGGCCGAAGGTGTTGGGGAATGATCTTGCAGCCTGTGGTCGGGATTCGGACTAGCGCTGCCATTCCCCTTTATGTCCCTTTCCCTTTCTTGATCCCAACCTCGTTCGATGTCCAGCTGTTGCTGTTGTTCTTTTATCACTTTTTCTAACGAAGCAGCCTGCTGTAACAAAATAAATACTCCTCAGATGTCTGGAGAATCGTGTATGGTGATTCAAAATTAGAATATAATTTTATGTGGTTTCAAGAGATTTCATTCAAACTCAAGACCAAAGATGAGAGACAAGTAGTAGTAGTAGTAGTAGTAGTAGTAGTAGTAGTAGTACTGTGGGGAGGCTGTAGCCAGGCAAGTAGGCCCTCATGGGCCCTTTTTGCCAACCCCTGCTCTCCACATATCTACACATCCCTCTTTTAGTTGTCCTTTTCGAACCGTCCTGTCCTTCTGATGAAGGTCAGGATGTCCGTCCACTCTAATTCGAACAAATCTTCCTGTTGTAGTTTATCTACTTCAAAGATTTCGAATCTCATCCTTCCATACGCCTCACACTCTCCGAGGAAGTGAAGTGAAACTATCTTCCACACCTATGAGTGATAGGTGCCTGCGTAACCTGTTGTGCCCTGTCAGTATCCCTATAAGAAGGCGCAGGACTTGGCGATTCCTGCCCAGTAACCAAGCCGTCTTTGGCTTGCTTGGACCGGCCACCAGGTCTCTCGATTGCCTGCAGCCGCCTATACGTCTCCAATATACTTCTAGTGCCTCGTCCGCCCATTTGTTAAGGGCAGACGAAGTTTGGCTTCTTGTTATGCCCAGTGCAGGCTCCGGCCCCCAGAACGGTGTCGCGGATCCGATTCTACCCAGCTCGTCGGCCACCTCGTTCCCGGGCACCCCCCTCTGCCCCGGAACCCATACTAGTTCGACTTCCTTCTGTTCAGCTAGTTTCTCAAGAGCATCGCCACATTCCTGCACCAAAGCTGAGCTTGGTTTAGGATGGCAGACAGCCCTGAGAGCCGCCTGACTATCCGAGCAGATGTAAATCTTCTGCTCTGGTCCCTCTTTCACCTCTTGCCTCTCCGCTACTGCCAGAATGGCAAGATGAGAGACAATGCTGCCTTATTCTCATACAAATGTAAGAACTTCACAAACGATAAGATTTCCACATACGCCAACCATATATTAGAAGAAAACCATAGTTTTGATGATTATTTCAAAATTCTACACGTAGAAAACAAAGGAATGAAACTCAATCATTTTGAATCATTAGAAATCAACAAATTAAAAAAAAAACATTTTACCCAACGATCAGATAGACCTCAATAGTTCACCACTGTTGAATTCGTTTTCTTATAGTAGGTTATAATAAGTATTTGCTATCAACCCTTTCAAGTTAATCCGGGTACACCGTACATTTTAATGTAGATATTGTGCCTGATTTCCGAAAATGAAGGTTTATCGAACCTGTCCACAGGTAATTAATCCTTCGAGATGGAAAAGTAGGATATATAAAAGTTAAGCAAGCCAAGGTTGGTTTAGTTCATTGTACCAGTATATCACCTGACGAAGCTATTGTGTTAGCGAAGCATGTTGTGTGTTTGAGAATTTTGTGGAATTCTTATCGTTTGTTAATTTTCACATTTGCCATGGATTTTCATCAAGTAACGGCCGAGTCAATTCGGAATTATTCTCAGACAATCAGAAACAAGTCATCCTCTTGATTGTTTCTAATTGTTGATACAGAGAATTTTGTGTGCAGTCTAGTGTTTCATTTGAAAAAATCATCATATACGAGACTTCCTGAGAAATGATAGATCGGGATGACCATTGGGTAAACATTGAGGTCAGTTTCGGAAAATTACGTAATAGTTGGATTTTTAAGAGTCAGAAAATTTCTCAAGGAGAAATGTGATCATGAATCATATTTTCCTATTACAGTGAGTTGATATAGGGACTCAGAGGTCTAGAATGCTTTTACGTTATTTGCCATATTCGCTGTCTAAATTCAGGATTTGAATACACATAATGGAGAAGTTGCGTTAGTTGTGGGAAAATAAATATGTTTGGATATGGCAGTAATACAAGGGCGGAGTGATAAAAATGCAGATAATAAATATATCAATTATTCACCTACTGCATGAAATAAGTAGTGTTTGGTGTTTGTATTGAATGGCATACAAAATCAGAAAATGTTAATGTCATTCCAGTTCCGAAACAGAGAAAAATTATGCATATCACCTCTAGCTCTATTGTAATGATTAAAAAGAAGTTTCTCGATGAAATAATGCTAAAAAAAAAGGAAATACACTGGAATAATACCATTATATCACTGAGGATATGAATAGTTGAGGGGAGTTGAATGTGAAATTAGGTTTCATTTAATGGAGAGGGCATTATATGAAGTTTCGACAAGAAGAGCATGTTGGTACTGAATTGGATACCCTTTTGTATTTTGCATGATGGTTTATATCGACACCTAGATCGTTTGATGAAAATGACCAATTATACTCGCGAAACAATTTCGATGGTCCGAAATTTCAGGAATATATTCAATATACACAGGCTAATTCACGTTGGAGCAATGACGTGAATAACATTATTTTCAAATGGACCACCCTATTTATAGGGTGATTCTTAACCAAACACCATAATGCGCAAAAGTTTCTTGGTATAAACGAGATTTTGGAAAAAAATTAAATATAGCTCCTTCTTGGCCCTCGTCTGTTAAACTGAGCCAATGGACAAGTCGGAAAGAACGTTCCATGTTCCTTTTCAGTATAGTTGGTTTTCAATCACGTGTTCTGTTTGATGTTTGGATCATCACTGAAAATATGATTATAAAGAAATTATTTTTGCCTAACATTGTTATAATTCACGAAGAACTCATGACCTCGAAAAGTTCAAAACCAACATCTTCTTCCACTCCCTATCCTCCCTAGGTACGCACGATGTTCCACGAACATTATAGGAATTTCTTTTAGTGCGCTCCAAGAGGTAAAAAAAAATCTTCAAGTTTACGTGCATCGTTGTGAATCACCCTGTATACTTTTAATGATCAGAATCACCATTAAACACTGATTCCAAGCATGCATGGCACATAGGCCACAAATTTATACTCTATGCAGGACGATCAGAAAGTTACGGACAAATTAAGTAAAGCTTGGTTTATTCCTAGGCGATTTTGGCTTTGGGGATGCTAGCAATGAAACGTGTATTGTTATTATAGTAGGTAAACCATTCAGAGAGAGAGAGAGAGAGAGAGAGAGAATAAATATATGTTCATTGCTCAAGATACATAATCTTATCGACAAACACTTTGTATAAAATTTAAATGTAACAGTAAACAATTATTATAACACGTGAATTTGTTAAGTCCTCATAATCACTGTTCTGTATCGTCATAGCCTATTCTATTATAAAACAAAACATAATTCACAATACAAAAATACAACACTATATTACACTTTATAAATCACAGTAGTTGTGATTCGTCATTGAAATATTCTGTGAAATCATGATATGCCTTACATGCTAATCTCTCTTGAGAGGCTCAATTGTTTTCAAGTCTATGGGAAGTTTATTATACATCTTCACTCCATTGTATATAAATGAGTCTCTGATCAGTGACGATTTCGGTATAATAATGGCTACATTTTTTGCATTACGTGCTCTGCGATTATGGTGAATGTACGAAGTTTTATTCTTGTGTATCAAACATGAGAGTAAATATTTTACACCTCTGGAAATATGGCTTGCAAGTGGTCGATATTTTAACCTAACACAAATATCGCACGGCAAAAATACACTGTGGAAAAGTTCTTTGCTGCAAAATCCCCAAAATTGTATTGCATATCTCAGATTTGATTCAATGAGGGCTACATAGACATTTTTTACTGCCGCAAATACGACCTTCCTAGTTCTAGTTCTGAGAGCGAAGCAACCGGAAGAAAATTTCACTTTCAAACCTAAGTCGTGTGTATCAAATTTCAAACTATTATCTATATCTATTTTGTTAGTTTCGAATGGTACTATGGTAATCCTTAATTGGAGTTCTGGAATTATACCTTTGAAGGTGATCAGCTTAGTCTTATTGAGATTCAAAAATAGAAAATTCGATTCACACCACAGTTTAATTTCTTTCAAGTCCTATGTGATACTTTCATGGAACATCATCGAGTTTTTGGAGTGCAACAAAGCTGTGGTATCACCATTTAAATTGACCAATGATAACAACACCACGTTTCATAGCTAGAATCGCCCAGCAAGGAACCAAGCTCAACCCTTAGACTGTGTGGTGCCAAAATATCACAAGAACTATGTGGTGGGGTATGGCATACCCCAAGAGGAATAATATAATATACATACATTGTGACTACGTCCTTTTGCTTTTAGATTTTTCTGTTATTCAGGTACACATAATTGTCTTGAAAACATTTTAGCGGACATTTTGATTGTTCAGAATGAATAATTATTGCCAAAACATGGGAACACAAATTTCTAGATTTTCTGAAACATTGTTTAATTCATAAAATTATCATAATTTGATATCTGACTCAAATAAAAAAAGAACTCCTTAAGTTGAATATATCCACAAATCGAAAAATCATGGTGGTTCAACTATAGCACAATTTGAACAAATTTGCATGCCCAAATTGTACTATTTTTTCACAAGGACAGTGTGCTCCGATTTATATCGTTCTAGGATGAACCTCATATCATCTCATATTTTCATGATCTCTTCATCACACAATCAATCGTTTTACGAACCTCCTCGACTCCACCCTAAATCCGAAAAGCTATCTTAAAAACTCGTGTCTTTATTCCATTGGTGAAGAAAACGTTGTTGCTCTTTTGAGTCAGACATCTTCAAAAACTACAAGAAACTAGCAGTAATAACGACAAAATGCAATTGAACTCACTATACCAATTTTGTTACATCAATTGTGTGGTGGGATATACAGGGTGTCCCGAAATTAGCCTGCCACTTCACCAGCGGCTTCTTCGACCAAAAAGAGGAAGAAAAGTTTCAATGAACATGAGTCAAGAAATGTCTCCTAAGGTATCTACGGCCCCCTGAAAGGGGACTCCTGAAGATGATATTTCTTGAATATTTCCGAAACGCCACGTGATAAAATGATGCAATTCGGTACAAGAACTAAAACCATGCCCAATGCGGTGAACATAAAATAATTTCAAAGTTTCATTCAGGAGTCTATACTACATGGTGGG